AGATTTTGGTGGAGTTCTGGCAGAGTGCTGACTTTCACGCCAGATTGCCTGGGCGTCCTTTGGATGCAGCATCTGATACTCGGCGCCCTGATTCTACGCGACGCCAACTTTCCAATGGTACCTTGGAGATCTACCCAGCGCCAATATTGGTAGAGTTACAGCCTGTTATGAAAGTGGTCTTTACCCTAGCAGTGTGCTGACTTTGATGCCAGAGTGCCCAGGCGTCCTTTGGGTGCAGGTTCTGAGACTTGGCATCCAGATTCTACTTGACGCCAGTGGTCCAACGGTGCTCCAGAAGTCTTCCTAGCGTCAATATTGGTGCAGTTATCTCCTGTCAGGTGAGTGGTTTGAGCCAGATTCATAGTAAAGGGTTGGGGCGGGAGGAGGCAGAGGGGGGGGAGCGCTTTCTTTCTGTGCTATGTATTATAGAACTGACTTGAATATGATGAGAAATAGTATTTATTTAAAAGGTTTCAGAATCTACATATGTGACCTGGGTCACAAGGTCTAATTCTGGTATTGCAGTAGTGCTTGCTTGCGTTCTGACTGTATCCTGAGTTCTGCCACCAAGGCTCACTTGCGTTCTGGCTGCATCCTGAGTTGTGGCACCAAGGCTTGCTTGCGTTCTGGCTGCGTCCTGAGTTCTGGCGCCAAGGACCATTGCATTCTGAGACTCGGTAGCTGCCGTCTTGCGTCCTGATTAACGGTTTGCGTCGTATGCGTCCTGTGCGTCTGATGCACAGGACGTACAGGACGCAACCTTTTATTTTTGCTGATGAAGAAAAAAGGCCAAGTTTCTTTAGTATGTGGCTAGGAGTCCTTCTTGAAAACCACCCGACGATTCAAGTATTGTACGTTAGCAAAAGTAAGCGAATATGATAACAACCAGAATTAATTTTTTAACAAAAACTAAAGTTCCTAATAACAATTCCCCTTCTTTAATCCTGAGCAATGTGACCAGGCTCAGAGAAATATTTGCATATATTTAGAGCACAAATAAAACTGTTTCATATAAAATTAAAATTTATATAATAAATTTCTTGCTCTGCTGATGCAGGTAAAAATAAATGAAAGAGTTTGGAAGTAATAAGTATATCCCTACTTATAAATACTTTCAATTACAACACATGAGTCAATTGCAACTGAGTTACATACTCTACATTGTGGGATGAACTGCTTCTGGCCTATTTAGCCATTGTAAAAATTTATTAGATTGCTAAAAGATATTCAGACTAGAAGTCACTTTACTAAGTACTGTTATTTTAAAATCTTTTTACTTTAAGTAAATCAAATATTGAGCAATTTCAGCAATAGAGAACAGGTGTCCTCTCTTCCTGCCTAGAGTCAGAAAAATTATTTTTATTATTTTTTTCAAATATTCTTTGTTGAGTAGAAAAGGTCAATAGAAAAACTTTTGTCCAGTATTTGTGCTTGGTGTGTTGCTATGTTCGCTTACTTTTGCTAACATACAATAGGTAACTTTTGTGGCACTACCGGGAATTTCCTAAGGCTTGATAGTTGATAGTCCGCTTTTCAGCACTTGTACCCTAAGCCACAAGTTAATAGTAAGCTTCTGGCAGAGTTTATTTCTATCATAAATAAAATACAGTGCTAGGTAAATTATCGTCCAGTTTATCGTCGCACCCCCTACGATATATCATGTAGTCACAGTTAGTCCTTTTTGTGCGGGCGCCAGCTGGGTCAAGGACACTATCCAACCCCGGAAGTCAACCGAGACACTTCCACACAGGTATCATACAGTGCTCCAGCGCAGGCCTGCAATACCAAGGCCCAAAGGGGAATCCGTTGCTGTGGTGACCCCTGTTACCAACCCCACGCCCTTAACGCCGCCCCCCACCCATGCTCATTCACTCAACATCGTGCATCTGCGTTTCATACTCCCCAAGAAACAAACAACCACCCCTATCGATCATTTCCGTATTCATTGTCCCTAAACAGCGTTAACTTTCTCTCATCCGTTCACCCATCGAGCCTACCGTTTACCATGTCAAGCAGCAGAGTTGCAGTCGAGGATCTCGACGCCGGCATGCATGCTGATGAGGATGCCATTAATGTCCTGTTTGTCTGCCTTGGGAACATCTGTCGTGCGTGGCTCCTTGAGGTTCCTCGTATTTTACTTTCTAGGATACAGGCTTGATGATATATATCGCTCCTCGGTGGCCAGAGTTTGGTGTTCTCGCTATTGCTAACCGTGGCACTTAGGCTCTCCGATGGCTGAAGGAGCCTTCCGCAGGACCGTCCAACAACTAGGCTTCAAAAACAAGTTCCGTAGGATAGACAGTTGCGGAACTGCTTCTTATCATTCTGGAGAGCGTCCAGATCCTCGTAAGAACTCGAGCTTTCTATTCGAGAAACGGGAGGAACCCAATGACACTGATGTATGCAGGCACCGTCCAGCTTCTCGCCAAGCACGGGATTCATACAAGCCATCTGGCTCGTCAACTTGCTACCTCAGATTTCAACGATTTCGATTACATTCTCGCTATGGATGTATAGTTTCCCCTTCCTATTAACACTGTCGAAGAGCTTAAGGGAACTGGATTGCTTACTGTTCCCCCTCCTTCCTCGTGTGAAGGACGCAAACTTACGTGATATAACTTCCGCTCAGCCCAAGGGTTCCGGAGCGAAAGGTAAAGCCATTCCTTGTAAAGCGGAGCTCATTTCAATGTTCCTAATACTGACGCTCTGGATTCTATATCCGCAGTCATGCTCTTTGGCAACTTCGGGGTGAACAAGAGCGAGCAGATTCAAGACCCCTATTATGGTGGCCAGGCTGGCTTTGACAGAAACTATGCCCAGATTGTTAGGTTTACAAAGGGCTTCCTTCGTGAGGTTTTCGGAGCAGATATCGATGAGTAGGTTCTTTATCATAGATATTGCCTTCCTCATTCTTTTATCTTGATGTTTTTGGGGGCGGTTTCTCAGTTCTATACCCTTTCCCTTTTTATCGGATAGAATGATACAATACACCAAATTGAGGCCATTCCAAGTTCCTTTCGGTTTCCTCCTTTTCAGCAAGCCACGGGCCCCGAAGGGGGGGGGGGGGCAATACCGGTAGTCTGCCCACCATCATTCATGACACAAGTACCGGTATTCGCTTTTGGCATGTTGCCGCTCTCATTGAACCGTCTCCAACTCCTGTCACTAACACAGTTCAACATGATGCACGGAGAGTCTTTCTTGAGCATTACCGCATACATGAAGGGTTATCGTTTAAATTGGGTTTTGCGAGCTCATATGCGAAGCGCGTGCGCAAATCCAAACATTCCAGCCACCAATCATCGGTGTGATGTTAGACGAAAATAAGTTAATGACCTGCGAGGGGTTTCTGATATTTGTTACTCTTGGAGCGACTTGGAGCCCCTGGTCACCAGGAGAGACCAAACACGGCTTATTATCTGGCTGCGGGTGAGTTACCGGTACTCGAGCAGAGTCGGGAGGATGAAACGGACAAACAACTCGCGACTAGTAAACACGATGTTATAAGTACCGATAAATGCACTACCCGTACTCATCGTTAATTTCTTGCTTGCTCTACTCGTACTCTACGGTACTGTAGCACTGTAGTGTGCTGTGCTGTAACATACTGTACGTGTGCGTTCAAGCTAAAATGTGGTTGGCGGTAGAGCTGGGGATCCAGTAACTTTGCGAAGCGTAGCCCTTCGTGGAAAGGAAAAACCCTGGTCCGAAAAAGCAACGAGAGCTCTGACGTTTACCCACACAAGTGTTCCAGCTCAAAAAAAAAAAACAGCTCGAGTAATGCCGGTATTTCACCCGCCCCACGTCACCTACGAATATCTATGCTATGCAATACACGGAACCACTATATATCGCTATGAAAGGGATATAATTTTCTCCGAGAAGCCTTCTTCCCCCAGAAGTTTACTTAACAAGCAGCCTTCCTCCGGGTCGTTCTGGGATAAAATTGCGATAGCCCTCTACATTTAAGGCCGTCATTGACAGAGGCTATCAAACGAAGTGAACGATAAATCTCCCCATCACCCTCCTCACGTACTTGCCCTCATCCGCTCCTTTATTTTTTCTCTTCCTCCTCCTACTTAACTACAAGCCATGCCATCCCTCGATTTCATAAAAGCCCCTTCTCACACGACCGGCGAGAACCTAGCGGATAGCTTCTGTCTGATAGAGCATCACGAGCTCCTAGACGAGAGCGACGGCTTCCAGGAAATACGGCGTGACGGGCGCCCGTGCGCAGGGAGCTTTGAATCGGATGACGAGAGCTCGTCCTCTGAAGAGGACGAATGTTTGTTAAGAGCTGTGGAAGGAGAGGGAGAAGAAGATGTAGGTTTCCTTCACCGCTCTGGTTTGGGAGGCGTGACGCATCTGATGTCGGAGGCTGTAAAAGTCATCTTTTACCTTGGTAGTAAGAGATGTGAGGCCGCGTGTGCGCGGCCATGTGCCCATGCATGGGCGGGAACGAGGCAGTGAGGGGGAGAACCCAGGCAGGACGGATTACAAGCGCGGTGGGAAGCCGGTGCTTGTTTCTATGGATGGGGGGAAAGCGGAGCGTGCGGTGAGCTCAGGTAGCTTTCGAGGAGGAATAGAAGAGAAGGATATATCCCCAAAACTCTACCCCAAACCCGAATCCCAACCCGAGCCCGAGATTCATCTGACCGAGCCTACTACTCTCGAGTTGCAAAAACCCTACCGGAAACCGCGTGGCACTATGGAATACAGGATCTGGACCGACAAAAACGGTCAATACAGACAAGAGATGATACTCCTCGGCTGCAAGAACGATCATGTACTTTTATTAAAGCGTAATGGCGTAAGGCTTAATATCCTTAAGACAGACCTATCCCCTCAGGACCAAGAATTCGTTACCCAGGCGATGGAATGGCCCGTTGCAACTCCTCCGAAAGAACTCCCTCTGAATGCCGAAACATCGGCGCCCCCATCCATTTACTCCGATAAACCGAAGCCGGATCCCAGTAAGATCCGGGGTTGGCTAGATGTCACCGGCAAATACGGTGTTGACGCCCAGCTGGTGGGGTTCCGGAAGGGCAAGATTGTGCTGCATAAGACCAATGGTGTTAAGGTTGGGGTCATTCCCCATCAGATGGCTAAGGATGATTTGGCGTTTGCCGAGAAGGAGCTCGGGATGGTGCTGACGGGGTCTGTGAAGGAGAAAAAAGGAAAAGTGATTGTTTGAATGGTTATAGCCGCGCACGATTGTTATTTATTTGTCTGCTCATCTTCTTCTCCCCTTCCTTCGTTGCTTCCCCTCCTTCCTCTCATCCCTTTTTTTTTCCTTTGTGAGGTGTTTTTGGCACTGCATCTCGGCATTGGTGTTTAGAGGGCTCCTATTTTAACAGTAAATGGTCTTTCCCCTTACCGCACAGTATATAAAAGCTCCACTTTTTTTTATTCTTTTTTTTTTTAATGCCTCGGCTTCCACAAGTATATATCATATTATGTGTTAACAATGGGGTTTATTATGGTCCTCTTTCATTTTTTTCATTACCTTTCATTGGAGGAAGGAGGGTGATTGAGCACCATCGTGCGCTGCCCCGCACCGTAGCACAAGTACTCGAGGCCCAACTACCGGTAGCAGGGAAGGCCAACGCTCCAGAGCGAGAGCCATTGCCTGGTCTCGAATCACATACGGCCTGGGTTTTACGGATGACTTCATAGTGGCATGCAGGTTCAATCATTCCCGGGTATCGATTGATCGAGCGTGTTTCGTGAATTACTATCGGGGATCTGTGGTCCAGAGGAGGAATTACTGGTACGAAGAAGGCGGAGGATTGGATTATGGGTCTATAGCACAGCCAAGTTGTCGACTTCAACATCCGAAAGGGTTGTAGGAATAGGTAACCCAACCAGAGAGATAGTGGAAGGGAGATTCCAAGGTGAATTCGATTGAGGAATGCGATAAAGGCTATACCGGCACTTTTTTATCAATTGCATAGTAAAGGCGTTAGGAGTCCGGGACGCATAGAATTACATGAGCACAGGTTTCTTCAAGTCCTACTTTGGTGAAATGTCATGGGTTCGAAGACTGAAGTCACAGGTCGATAGTGGGGGTGATCGATACAGGAGGCTCACCTGCACTGATATGGTGATGGTCGTACCATACCTGTAGATACGATACTCGTACCATATATCGGCTTATCGCTAGTATGATATCGAGCGGCACGATTCAAGTACTGGTACTCGAGTACAGTGCGGTACCAAATCCGGGCCCAATATTTGCAGAGGAGGGGAAGGGACAACACCCTTGATCCTCGGGTTGCATAACTTTACCGGAAGTCGGTACTGTATCGATGGGACAAACCAATATCTCGAGTACTCGGTCCAAGTTACCGGCATCTTGTCCACGGGGGTGAAAATCACCGAATGTCACCGGCATATTGGTATCGTTGTTGGGATCAATATCACATTTTCATCTTTCTTATCCCGGGGGTAGGAAGCTGAATGGGAACCATCCCCCGGGTTATGTCTCATTGGGTGTCGAACAAGAAAGATCTGTTTCCCCGGCAACAGCATCTAATTGGACGTTTCTCTCTCTCTCCCTCTCTCTCTCTCTCTCTCTTCTTCTCCTCTTC